AGGGCCCACACACAGAATTACTCAGACTCTCTCTAAGCTCTAGCCCTAGGGCAGCAGCTTGAAAGGCACCACAGACATATGGGAAGTCAGTATCAGAGTGAGAGCTGGAGGGACAGCTTTCTTCCAGACAGAAGTGCTCTCAGAGGCCTTTTCCTTCATAAGCCATTCTCCCACAGAGCCAGCTGGTGGGTGCCATATCTGAGACTCCATCAACAAGGCTTACACCCTTCACCCTGCCCTGGTGATTCCCTGAGGCCTTACCCCACCCAACTTTCAGGCCCACACAAGCTGTTTCCAGTGGCTTTTCCATACAAATGGCCTGTTGGCTCATGCTTCAGATTTTCCTAAAATCTCAACACAAGCAGCATCTGGCCTCAGCGTGTCCTGTACCTTTCCATAAGTGGCCCCAGACCTGGCACTGGCACTAGCAGCAGCCAGCTTCAGGTCACAGCTTGGCCTTGCCTGGGCACCTCCAAGCTCTGCACAAGTAGCAGCCATCTTCAGATAGCTTTGTAGCTCATGCTGAGTGGCTCCAGAGAGAACACAGGTGGTGGCTGACCTTGGCCTGTACCTCCCTGGAGGTACCAGAACCTGAGCATCCAGTGTACAGCCCTGGACCACGTTGAAGCATGGGCTCCCAATCATTCCATGAGCAACACACTGAAGGAGTGGGCTCAGCAGGCACCAGAGCCCCTGCACTGCTGATCCTCCATGGTGGTCGGATGTTGGTGGTCAGTGGCTGCAGCCAGTCGGCCTAGTAGTATATTCCTCCATTCACATTCACACTAGCAATCAAGGCTCAACTACAACAGGAGGGTGTACCACAAGTACCCAGTTTAGGTGATTGGAGAGTCTGTGCCACTGGACTCTATAGGACACCTACTACATAAGGCCATTTTACCAAGCCTGCAAGATGTAGCAATACTACCTAATACATACAAATAGAAGCAACCAAAATAAAGACAGAAACATGTTCCAAGTGAAAGAACAGAACAAAACTCCAGAAAAGAACTAAATAAGATGGAGACAAGCAATCAGCTAGATGCAGAGTTCAAAACATTGGTTATAAGGATGCTCAAGGAACTTAAACATAAAAGTGGAACTAGAAAACATAAAAAGGAACCAGTCAGAACTGAAGAATATATTAATTGAAATGAATACATTACAGCAGGGGTGTCAAGCTCATTTTCACTGGGGGCCACGCTAGCCTTGAGGTCGCCTTCAAAGGGCTGAATGTAATTTTAGAACTGTATGAATGTAACTACTCCTTAAGTGTTAAGTGAGAGCTCAGCACTGCCGCAGTGTAGAAACAAGAAACAAGGTGCTGGGCTAGACAAAACAAAGTGGAAGGCTGGATTCAGCCTGCAGGCCTTGTGTTTGCCACCTGTGTGTTACAGGGATCAGCAGTGGAGTGGATGAAGCACAGGATCCAATCAGAGATTGGGAAGATAAGGAAGCAGATAACACATAATCAGAACAGCAAAGAGAAAAAACTCACACCCACAAAAAGGACTGTAAGGAAGGAGCCAGAGCCTCTGGGACAACTACTTCAATCACACCGACATTCACATCATGGGGTTCTGGGAGGAGAAAGCAAGAAATTGGAAACCTTTTTGAAAAAATAATGACAGAAATCTTCACTGACTTGATGAAATAGACATGCAAGTCCAGGGAACACAGAGAACCCCAAACAAGACAAATAGGGAATCTTAAAATAGCAATAAGAGAAATGCAGTTAGTAACTCACAAGGGAGCTCCCCTAAGACTGTCATCTGATTTCTCAACAGAAATTTTGCAGGCCAGAAGAGATTGGCAAGAAATATGCCAAGTGATGAAAAGCAAGCACCTGCAACCAAGATTACTTTACCCAGCAAACCTACCATTTAGAACTGAAGGAAAGCTAAAGAGCTTCCCAGGCCAAAAAAGCTAAAGGAGTTTATTACCAACAAACCCATATTATATGAAATGTTAAAGGGTTTTCTTTAAGAAGAAGAAAAAATATGAACAAAAGGTCAATAAATACATATCTATCACCAATTGAATCTAAAAAACCAAATTGAACAAGCAGAACATAAACAATTTCACAGATAGAGAACATTTTCAGGGTTACCTCTCCAAGCACAAGAGATTCCCTACTCTGTGGGTCCTCCAGCCTCACCACCTTCCCCCTTTACTCTGATCATTTCTGAATAAAACTTTCCATGATTTTGTCTTAATTAAAAAAATGATGCTTTGGAAAATGAGAAAAAATTCAGACAGCTATTTCTGGTTTAGTGGAATGAGTCCAAAATACCATGTTCACTGTAGAGATTTTTCATGTTGATTGATTCTTCTAAATTAAATACCCCCCACGTTCACCCGTGGAGATGAATACAAGGTAGGAAAGAGATGTGTGACTCACCAGGCTGGGAAATCTAAGGGACAGACGGCTCTGACCAGGCTGTGGAGACATGCCAGTTTGTTGACAGTCTTCTCAGCTCTAGCTGGAGCAGAAAGCTAAAAAGCCCACATCCTTCAATTTTCTTCTTTAATGCTTTTGAAACAACACACATTGGCAACACATGCCTGACCTTTTTTTTTTAACCTAAAAAAAAGTGAGCCCGATACTTTTTTGAAACTTGAAGAAAATTCTTTTTTAAGTACTCAAAACAAAAAAAATTATTACTTAATGTTTAACTGATATCTGATCAACAAGTGTTGGCTGAGCACTGCTCTCTGCCCAGCACTGCACTGTGCTGGCCCCAGAGGACTCTGCATCACAGCTAGTTCCTGTGTCAGGGGCTCACTGCCAACAGAAATAGGTGTTTCTATTACTTTATCATCCCATTCCAGGTGTTCATGGGTCTCCCCAAGAATGGCAGCTTAAGAGGCACTTCCATTTTTTCTTTGCCTCCTCTGGGCCTAGGAATGCAGTGAACACTTAGCACGTGCTCAGGAAATGTCAGCTGCACTAAACCAAATGAGGGGAGCATCATCAAAGTGTTTGGCAATAAGAATTTCTGTTACTGTTCTCTTCATTGTCCTATCTCCTCCATGTCCTCATGGTATAATTATGCTCAAGTTTGTGGGTCAAATTTGCCAGGGTATGGACCTGGCTAGTGTGGCTCAGTTGGTCCGGCATCATCCTGCAAACTGAAAGGCTCCCTGTTCGATTCCCAGTTGGGCTACATGCCTGAGTTGTGGGGCATATGCCTGGGGTGCAGTTTTGGTACCCGGTCGGGGTGTGTACAGAAGACAACTGATTGGTATTTCTCTCTCACATCGGTATTTGTCTCTCTCTTTCTCCCTCCCTTCCCCTCTCTCTAAAATCAAAAATAAAATTTTAAAAAATTTGTGAGGGTATATATGTCTGTTATGGGCTGAATGTTTGTGCCCCTCCCAATTCGTATGTTGAATCCCTAACCCACCTTGTGATGATATTTGGAGACAGGGCCTTTGGGACATTAGGTTTAAAAGAGGTAATGAGGGTGGGGCCCTAGCAATGGGATCAGTTCCCTCCCGAGAAGAGGCACCAGAGAGATGTTCTCTCCCCATCACGTAAGGACCCAGTGAGCCGGGAAGATAGCCCCAACAGGGAACCAAATCAGCCAGCACCTTGTTCTAGGACTTCCAGTCCCCAGAACCACAAGAAATAAACTTGCATTGCTTTCGCCACACCCAGTCTGTGGTATTTTGTTATGGCAGCCTAAGTTGATCAAGACAACGTCCTTCTCAGCTTCTGCCCATGACAGGACACACATCCCTGGAGCAAACAGGGATAGCTGTCCTGTGAACCAGAACCAAACACTGAAAAAACTGAATGCTGGACATACTCTGAGGAAACAGGCAGGCTGACTTTCCTAGATGAAGACTCTAGATCAGTGGAACATAGAGAGGGAGAGCTGAATTTGGAGATAAAGAGGTTAAATTTCACCTCCCCACTGTGAAATGTGAATTTAAAAAGCATTATTCGCATAATGCATTCTTCAGTGCATTCTGAGGCATTCACATATCACTACTCATTTGTTTTTCCTACATTACTTTCTTTCCTCACTCTTTGATTTCTATAACCTCTCTTTGGGGTAGACATAGAACTGATTGACCCGTTCTACGAAACAGAGTGAAGGCAGCAGATAAGGTGGGGACTGCAGTGAGGGTCAGGGTATAGAGGACAAAGTCCAGCACTGGGCAAGCCTGAGAAGAGTATGGACTCTGAGTACAGTGACATTTGGGATGGAGAGGGGGTTTCCAGGAGGTGAGATGCCCCAGACAGAAAGGCAAGTGCATGGGAGAGCTCAGGGCACCTCGCCACACTGTCTGTGACAGGAGGCTGCTCCTGCCCTCCCTCTCAGTGCTGCCTGAGAGAACAATGCAGGCTGCCCCTGCTGCCCCCACCACCCCCCTGAGGCACCCAGGTCTTGGAAAGGAGAGGCTGATGAAGGAACCAGTACCTTTTTTCTCTGCTACTCAGTTTGCCCTATGGAACTATCAGAGAGGCACCTAACATTTATACATTTATATGTTCATCACAGCACCCTTCACAGAGGTAAAGGATCTAAATGTTCAACTAGGATCCATCCTGACAATGAAGATACAGGTTTTAAAACATACCCTTTCAAAGAATTTTTAATAATATAAGGGGGAAGGTCCCACAGAGTATTAAGAAAAGGTACATATAAAGCCAGATATATATATATATACAGTTTGATACCAATTATATAAACAGACTCTCTCACACACACAAGACTGGAAAGAACCATTCTAACATAGTACTAAGGATTGTTGTGTGTGGCAGAATTATTGGTAATGTTTCTTTTGTCTTTTTTCCCCCTAGCATATTTCATGTTTTCTAAATATCTTCAACTAAAGCCCAGATCTATAGAAAGAGACAAAAACAATGGCAAGACAAATATGAGGCTGATGCTCTGATTTGGGGGGACTTTATCCCATGTTCCACTTCGGGGGGCAGCTGACACCATCTCCACACACCCAAGAAGCCATCCCCACAACCGGTCACTTGCCTCGCCTCTCCGCTATCTGCAGGTAACCTGTGGAAAGGTACTGCTCCATGTCCTGCTGGAAGGCTTCTTCAAAAAACTTCTGCCGCTCTCTCAGCTTCATTTGCTGGGTATGCTCCATCTCCAGGACCTTCCGGGCGTGCTCTGCATCTAGTTCAGCTAAGGAAACAGAATGATGTGGGTCAGGTTTGAAAAGAAACTGAAATATGAAATGGGTATAAACACCTACTCATAGCTGCCCTCCAAGCTGCCAGTGTTAAACTCTGGTGGGTGCCTCCAATACAACCACCTCCTCTCCCCTAACTGGCTGCACTTGTTCCTGCTACCTTTGCTCAGGCAGTTGCCCTGCTGAAACGGCCTTCCCCCACCTCTCCCACTCTTCACAGCAGAGATGCCTGTCTTTCAACACCGACTTCCCAGTTAATCGCTCAACTCAAGTAGAATTTGCTACTCCATCCTGAGGTATAACACTGTGCTCAAACTTTCACAGCTGGCTTATGCATTACATACAACAGGTAAAGGCTTGGACTTCCTGGAGGACTGTGGCCATATGTTATCACTTTAATATCACCCAGCTCAGAGCCTGGCACAAAGTAAGGACTCAATAATGTTTCTCTTTTTTGTTTCTTTTTCTTAAATATATTTTATTGATTATGCTATTACAGTTGTCCCATTTCCCCCCTTCACTCCCCTCCACCCTGTACACCCTCTCCCACCCACATTCCCCCCTTTTAGTTCATGTCCATGTGTCATACTTACAAGTTCTTTAGCTTCTACATTTCTCATACTATTCTTGCCCTCCCCCTGTCTATTTTCTACCTACTATCTATGCTACTTATTCTCTGTACCTTTCCCCCCTCTTTCCTCCTCCCACTCCCCTGTTGCTATCCCTCCATGTGATCTCCATTTCTGTAGTTCTGTTCCTGTTCTAGTTGTTTGTTTAGTTTCTTTTGGTTTTGTTTTAGGTGTGGTTGTTAATAATTGTGAGTTTGCTGTCATTTTACTATACATTTTTTTATCTTCTTTTCTTAGATAAGTCCCTTTAACATTTCATAAAATAAGGGCTTGGTGGTGATGAACTCCTTTAACTTGGCGTTGTCTGGGAAGCACTTGATCTGCCCTTCCATTCTAAATGAAAGCTTTGCTGGATAGAGCAATCTGGGATGTAGGTCCTTGCCTTTCATGACTTGGAATACTTCTTTCCAGCCCCTTCTTGACTGTAAGGTCTCTTTGGAGAAATCAGCTGACAGTCTGATGGGAACTCCTTTGTAGGTGACTGTCCCCTTATCTCTTGCTGCTTCTAGGACTCTCTCCTTCATTTTTACCTTGGCTGATGTGATTATGATGTGCCCTTGTGTGTTCCTTCTTGGGTCCAACTTCTTTGGGACTCTCTGAGCTTCCTGGACTTCCTGGAAATCTATTTCCTTTGTCAGAATGGGGAAGTTCTCCTTTATTATTTGTTCAAATAAGTTTTCAATCTGTTGCTCTTCCTCTTCTCCTTCTGGTACCCCTATAATTCAGATGTTGGAACGTTTAAAGATGTCCTGGAGGTTCCTAAGCTTCTCCTCGTTTTTTTTTTTTTTTGAATTCTTATTTCTCCATTTTTTCCTGTTTGGTTGACTCTTTCTTCCTTCTGATCCATTCTATTGTTTTGAGTCCCAGTTTCCTTCCCATCACCATTGGTTCCCTGTGCATTTTCCTTCATTTCTCTTATTGTAGCCTGCATTTGTTCATCTAATTTGCAACCAAAGTCAACCAATTCTGTGAGCTTCCTGATCACCAGTGTTTTGAACTGTGCATCTGATAGGATGGCTATCTCTCGGTTACTTAAAAGGATGAGGTCTGGGGCTTTGATTTGTTCTTCTCTTTGAGCCATATCTCTCTCTTTCTCTCTCTCTCTTTTGGTCTGGTCACACCTGTTATGGTGAGGAGCGAAGCCTTAGGTGTTCACCAGGTTCTGGGCACCCCAGTCGCTGGATTGTGACATTGTATGTGGGGGCGGGGTCGAAAGGGAAGGATGGCGGTTGCTGTTCTCCATGGGACCTCAGTCCCTTCTGCTGCTTCCCCCAAGCAAACTGGGCCCCTGTGGTGCCAATTCCCATGTGGGTGGTCCTGTGCATGCCATGGGACCTTCCAAGGACCTCTCCTGTGAGGCTGGGTGTCTCTCTGTGTGCCTCAGGGTCCACCTTCTGTGATCTTGCGCACCCCAGATGCCTTACACGCCCAACTCTCTCTGCTCTCCGCACCTCGACCCGCGCCTGGCTGCTAGTCTCCGCCCCTCCTACCGGTCTGGATGCACGGGTCTAATTCAACTTCTTGACTGTCCGACTTCCATTCAGATCAATTTTCTGTCAGTTCCAGATGTTATTCTACCTCTAAATTGTTGCTGTTCCAATCTTGGTTGTGCGTGGAGGTACGGACGGTGCGTCCACCTATGCCTCCATCTTGGCCAGAAGTCCTAAATGTTTCTTAAAAAGCAAGAATGTAGCCATTGTGATCTAGTAGAAAACTGTCTGGGCTTTGTTGTTTATTAACTGCACAATCAGGCTAAGTCAGTTAACCTTTCTGAGCTTTACATTACTCATCTAAATATTTGGGACAGAAATATTATAACCCAATATTAAATGTTAAACTTAAATGAAATGACATGAAAGAGCTTTATAATTAAAATGAGCAGTGATTCTTCAAGGTCGAGCTGAGAAAGTAAGAACACAGAGACGTTGGCCTGGCTGACACCCTGATTGCAGCCTTGGGACCCTAAGCAGTCAGCCCCGTCTTCAGGCCAGGCCTGGACTTCTGGCTGTGAGCTAATTTGCATTGTCTGCGCCATTCAGTTTGTAGTGATCTATTGTGCAGCAATACGGAATACTCCAAATAAGCTGTCTACATGAATTCCAGCTCCTGCCCAAATCTGACTAGCTGGAGAATTGAAAAAATAACCACTTGAATTCTTTGCCTTAAACAAGTATGTTGCAACACCTACCCTGTGGCAGGTACCATGCTTGGGTGAGTTTGGCAGGAGAACCAAGTTTCAGCTACCTACTGTCCTGGCATAAACATAGGGCCCAAAACACTGAAAAATTTCACCAAGGCACTGTTCTCTCTGGTTCACCTCTGGGGAGTGCTGACAACTTTGGGATATTAAAACTCATACAACTCAAAGAAACCCCAACAAAATCTAATTTAAAAAATGCACAGAGGATCTTAATAGACATTTTCCCAAAGAAGACATACAAATGACCAATAGGTACATGAAAAGATGCTCAACATCACTGATCATCAGGAAAATGCAGATCAAAAACATGAAATATCATCGCACACCTGTGAGAATGGTTTTGTTATCAAGACAGACAAACAAGTTGGCAAGGAGGTGGGAAAAAGGAAATGTGTGTATATTTTCGGTGGTGCTGTGAACTGGTACAGCCACTGTGGAAAACAATGTGACATTTCCTCAAAAAATCAAAGGTAGAACTATCACATGATCCAGCCTGGGTATTTAGCCAAAGGAAATGAGGACAGTACATTGAAAAGATACCTGCAGCCCACATTCACTGCAGCGCTAGTCACAACAGCCAAGGTAAGGAAATGGCCCAAATGCCTGTCAGTGGATGAGTGGATGACGAAGATGTGTGTAAGTACAACAGAGTATCACCCAGCCACGAGAAAGAGGAAAATCCTGTCCTCTGAGACAACATGGATGGGCCTTGAGGGCATTATACTGAGATCAGCCAGACAGAAAGACAAATATTGTGTGACATCACTTATAAAAACCAAGCTCATAGGACAGACGGACGGTAGAATGGCGGTTGCCAGGGGCTGGGTGGTGGGAACTGTGGAGATCTAGGTCAAAGGTACACACTTGCAGTTAGAAGATGACAAAGTTCTGGAGATCTAATGCACGGCACTGTGATTACAGTCAACAATATTGTATTACTCACTTCAAAATTTCTAAGAGACTAGATTTTAACTGTTCTCACCACAAAGAAGAAATAATTATCTGAAGTGGGAGGTGTTAGATAACTCTACAGTGGTATTCATATTGTAATACATAAATGTATCAAATCAACATGTTGTACGCCTTAAACTTACACAATGTTATATGCCAATTATATTTCAATTAAAAATTCTTTGGGATGTTACCGAGAGATTTTTAACAACAACAAACAACCACAGTTGCCTGGCCGGGCAGCTCAGCTGGTTGGAGTGTCATCCGGCGCACCAAAAAGCTGCAGGTGGGATTTCTGGTCAGGACACAAACCTCAGGTGCAGGTTTAATCCCCAGCCAGGATCCGTACCAGAGACAGCCGACTTTTCTCCCTCACATCGATGCTTCTCTTCCTTCCTCCCCCGCTCTCTAAAATCAGTGAACATATCCTAGGGTGAGGAGAGGGAAAACCACCACCGCTGCCACAGCCGTACTAACTTTGAACGATGCCTACAAGTCCCATGTGACTGGTATGGCTTAGCCATTCCCTACACCCACAAAACCCAACCCCACATTTCACAAATCTCAAGTTCTACATAATCCTGTAGGCGATGTATCATAAAAACTCAATAATGGGAGTATATTTTTATTCCAAACTGGTTATAGTCCCCAATACTTAGACTATTCTGGACATTCTTCTTCCATCCTAATCTACATATATGAAGGCCTATCTGGAGAAAGTCCAGCTGTTGTTAATATAACAAGAATGGCTTGTGCGACCTTGATGTAACCTAGCAGCCAAGGAGAGTGGACTAGAATGTGCGTGTGTGAACAATGACAACTTCTCTATGCTAGTCAGTGGGGGCGGTAGACATCACTGAGTGAGCATGTGTACTATGTGGCTGTCACATTCAAAATCTGCATTAAATTTTGCATCAAGGTTGAACATTCCTCCTTGGAAACTATTCTGATGATTCAGTAGGCCGCAGCTGTGGGCAACTGGTGATTGGCAGATTCATCCTGACAACATGCCTGCTCATGTATCACATCTTGAGCAGAGTTTTTCGGGAAAACATCAAATGACCCAGGTGACTCAGCCCAGATTTGGTGCCCTATGACTTCTTGTTTTTCCCAAAACTAAAATCTCTGAAAGGGAAAAAATTTCAGAGCATCAGTGAGATTCAGGAAAATACAACAGGTCAGCTGATGGCTACTGGGAGAACTGTGTGAGGTC